TTTATCTAAAATCACAATTATGCTAAAGCTTAAAGTATGTTTGATTTACTTTTTAAAAACATGTTTTAGGTTTTAAAACTTTCTTTGTACTACAATTTATTTTTAAAAACTAAAAACTAATTTTAAAAAGTAAATTAAACATGCTCTTACAATTTGATTTTCCTTCTAAAAATATTTTTTTATTTTAAAAAAAATATTTTTAAAAGAGAAATCAAACATACTTTAAAACTATCTTATTTAGGGATGATTTAAATTTTTATATTTTCAATTTTTAAAAATTAAAAAGTATATATATGCACACACACACACACACACACACATATATATATATATATATATATATATATATATATATATTTAGGGATGATTTAAACACACTAATTTTACAATAATATTATTATATTAATTAATACTAATAGGAATCATGCATTTAACTTAGTAAAATATTATCTTATGAGTTCCAAGCACCTATCAACCTTTATCAAATATAATTTATACATATCAAATAAACACATGCTACTTTCATTATATGGAGTTTTCATTTATTAGGATCTTCTTCAAATTCCTAGCTTTACTTTTCCTTTTACTCATATACTTCCTCTACGCCCCTATGACAATAATAAAATATGTGTGATATAAAGTTACATGCCTAGTAGGCATGCTTCCTTTAATGTGCATGTGACAATAAAATATGTGTGATACAAAGTTACATGTCTAGTAGCCAATAATTGAAGAATAATTTTTATAAGTATTTATCTAGAGAGAAAATGCAAGTAAAACACAGAAAGAAAAAATAATTAAAGAATAATTTAATATAACATACATTAAAAGAACACTTTGGTTGTTGGTATGTCATATGTAACATTAGCATGAGAAAGAACAAAGTAATGAGAACCAAAAATAGTATTGGCAAAGGTGCAGAGAAAGAGATTATGCCCATAAAATTGGTCTCATTATAAAAAATAAAATAATATTTTTGAGTTTAAAAATTAAATTAAAGGTGTTTCAAAACTTAATTAAAAACTTTCCATTTTAGCCAAGAATGTTTAATTTTTTAAATTTACATTGAAAAATTACACAAATAAAAAATTTGTAACAATTTCAAATAAGTCTTTATTACTTCGTTTTTGTCTTAGAAGATTAATTGGAAGTCATTGTATTTTATTCAAAGAGTATAAAACTTGATATGTGACTCAGGACATTAACACAATAACAAATAATGTAGTGAAATCAAAATCATTAACTTATAAGAATCTATGAGAATTAATAATAAATATTATAGCAAATAAAGAAAAAAAAATAAAAGTGAGCATCAAATTGTTTAACATTGTGAATATCCAATTTTATCCAGGTTTCATCTAAAAAATATATAAATAAATAAATACATAAATAATAAAATAAAAATAAAAATTAGATAAGAATTTAAATTTTAGGTCTATAAGAGGTTAGAATTTTAAATTTTAAATATGTAGATATTTAGGTTAATGGAGAAAAAAAATGATTAGTGGGTAGATTTTAAGGGAAGTGGATGAGATGTTTAAGAAGAGTGTAAAATGTGGCCATTGAAAAAATTGGAAGGTGGAACTTTTTTTAAAAAAATAATAAAAATAATAAATTAATTAATTAAATAGGATCTAGGTTTAGAAGGTGTGACTATAAATGGGAAGCTTGAGTCTTTAGAGAGGATTTTGACACTATTTTTTTTATGGGAAACCAATAAAGAGAATCAAACTTTCTTGAAGAGCACGGGAAACAAAGAGAGAAGAAGAGAGAGTGAGAATTGAAAGAATTTGGGAGACAAATAAAAGGAAATGGAAATTCAAGGGAGCACAATGAGACAATGAGACAAAGAGGAGGGGAGATAATTGCAAATAATCAACATTCCAAAAGAGTCAACATTCTGAGAGCATTCAAAAGCTTGAGATCAACAAAAGAGAATAAGGCTAGAGGGTTGAAAGAGGAGATCTTACCGTGAATCCTAAATCGTCACAAGTAAGTTCCTTTTTTCTTCTTTTTCTTTCTTTTTTTTTTTTTGTCGTTGTTGTGTGCTTCTCTCTTATCCCCATTTATTCATACAAGATTTAATGTTTTTTTAACCCAAATATTGTCCTGTCTTACAAATCAAACCTTTCTAACCCCTAACATCCTCTTTCTTTACAAACCTAAAGGAAAACTTAACTCTAACACTAAAATATCCTTTTGCAAACCCTAAAACATTTATTTTTCTCTTAAAAATATCTTTTTTTGTAAACTCTAAAACATTTTCCATCCTATAATATCTTTTTTGCAAACTCTAAAACATTTTTTAACCTTAAAATATCTTTTTTTTGTAAACCCTAAAATGTCCATTTTGCAAACCATAAAACAATTTTTTCTCTTAAAATATCTTTTTTGCAAACCCTAAAATATTTTCTAACCTTAAAATATCTTTTTTTGTAAACCCTAAAACATTTTCTATCCTAAAATGTCCATTTTGCAAATCCTAAAACATTTTCTTTCTAACCTTAAAATATCTTCTTCTTCTTTTGTAAACCCTAAAACATTTTCTATCCAAAAGTGTCTTTTTTTGCAAACCTTAAAATAATTTTTAAAATCCCAACTATTCTTTTTTTACAAACCCTAAAAAGTAATTTTTTTTAATTCTAGCAATTTCACAAATTATAAAAATCTAAATTTTCCAAACCCCAAAAATGCTTTTTTTTTTCGTAAGTCCTAAAGATTTCAATTTCTTTACAAATTCCAAAATTCTTATACCATTACTTGAAGCCTGCTTTAAATCATGTAGGCTCTTTCTTAGCATACACACATAGTCTTCCTTTATATAAATCTCTTCCTCCAAATTACTATGAAGGAAAATAATTTTCATGTCATCTGTTTTACCTCCAAATCAAGATTGACAACCAAACTCAAAATGACTCTATGGACAACATCTTCAGCATATATGAGAAAATCTCATTAGAATTAATATAATTTCTCTTGTTTGAATCCTTTCACTACACATTTAACTTTGTACCTCTGAGATGCAGAATTATGCTCTTGTTTCACCCTGGATATTCACCTATATTTTAAGGCCTTCTTTCCTATAAGTAATTTTACCAAGTCCTAAGTGCGATTATCATACAAATATGTCATCTCATCTTGCATTGTATCCAACAATTGTTACTTTACTTCACTCTCCAATGCCTTTTCAAGATATTCAAGTTCTTTATTATTTTTTAAGGTCACATACTCATTAGAAGAATACCTAGTAGATGGTTTCCTTTGCCTGTTGGATCTCCTAAGTTAGGCTTGAGGTGGTGTGGGAGCATCATCAAGATTCTCACCAAAGTGTTTCATACAATTTGTAACCATATTCATCTAGGCCAATGAAGATGCATTGCTTAATCTTCAAATCCAACTTGAATCTTTTATCCTTTGGAACATACACTAAAGACTCACAAAACCAATTTTTTTCTTGCGCCTCAATATTAAATGCAACTGCAAAATTAAGATTAATAACATGCATTGACATGTAAAGTGCCTCACTCCATAAATGCTTAGACATTCTTGTTTTGAGAAAACATACACTTAACTTTCAATTAAAATCATGTTCATTCTCCCTATTAAACCATTTAGTTAGAGAGTTAGAAGAAGAGTTTTAAGAAGAATCTTTCATGTATGATACTTTGTTGCTAGTAATAAAATATCAGAGAGTCTACAATACCCGTCACTATTGTTAGCACAAATATATTTAAGCTTCTCAATCACTTGATCTTTTATCTTCAAAACATACATTAAACTCTAAAAAAAAGAGTAAGATATATTTAAAAATCTTATTATTATTATTATTAAAATTGACCTGATAGGTCAACCTACCTTGCATCCACTTTTTATCCAGTGTTTTTAAGCATACAGGTTAAACGAATTGACTAGTTTAAAATCCTAACATGTTTTGTAAAATTAGCAGGTTAAGCAAGTTAACTTGTGAAGTTAGACCCATTTTGTCAAACATACAAATGATGAAAGGGATTAAATTGAAACTAAATATGAAATAAAGGATAAAATAAAACAAAAATGATTAAAATATAAAAATAAAGTTAAAGAAGTAAAATATTAATTTTATCTAATATGATTCTTGTTATTAACAACAAACCTTTTTAAATGTTTTTCTCTTATTTTCACTTTATATTTTAAAATGTTACTCAATTTTTAAAATATATGTGTAATTCACAGAAAATTCATTATTAGGCTTCTAAAATTTAGCAAAGGGTAATTGTCATTAAGTAGCAAGGATATTATTTTAATTTTTTAATAAAAATTAATTTAATATAATTTTTAAATTATAAATACCTATCTAAGAATTTATAAATTTTTCTTAAACATGTATTTTGAGAGGAGAATTTAGCAAATGAACTTACAGATCCTCGAAAAATATTCATGTATCCTTCCTTATTGAAACGCCGTAGTAAATTATATATCTAATAATATTTCCGGTAAAAAAAATATTGTAGAAAGTGGAAATTTTTTCTCAGAGAATGATTTAAAATATTTTTTGTATATTATAGCGGAATAATTTATAGCGTCTCAAAGAGACACTGCAGAAATGTTTTAAAAAATAATTTTTCTGTATAGTATCTATTCACCCAAAGTAAAATCAAACAAATTATTAATATTATTATATTTTAAAAGATTTTACGAAACAGTATTCTAAGAATACTAGTTAAAAATTTAAAAATCACAAAAATTATATATTAATAGTAGTTTTTAATATTTTTTAATTTTAATAAATATCTTTAAAATACCTATTAGTATATTATAGTTCATTTTATACATTTATTTTGGGTTTTACAATGCTTTTATTTATATTTTCACTACCTTTATCAGATGGAGAGAATATACTGTGCAATTGTTTCAGACGTTGACTATTATGCTCTTGTCCTACACGGTTTCTGATTTACCACTTCGAAAACTACTTGCGTAGATAGACCCTCGTTTGAACACTCGTTCCAAAGCAACAGAAAATGGCAACATCGAAAAGGTTATTCAATTTGAGTTCTTTACTAATGGCTACTCTTTTTGCATACTCAGCATCTGTTCAGTTAAATGACCCTGGTACGCTCTATTTATCTTCATTTTTTCTTTCTTTCTTATGGGCTTTATGATTGATGTCAATTTTCATCAAGATCTAATAATTTTTTTCTAATTTTTTGACGTGGGTTTTTCTTTTTGACATAGATTGGTATGTTTGGTTTCCACTATATTCATGTGCCTGCCTCATTAATCTCACGAACTGCATCATATCAACCAAATTGAAAAGGTTAATCGCCAAAATTGTGTTATGGGTTGGGATACTATTGCACATGAAAGTTGTGTTCGAAGATTTTGTGCATGAACTAGCAGGGTTTTGGTCACTGGATCTAAGTGAGAGAGTTGTTAGGGAGAAAATAGGTAGCTTGTTAGTTGTCATATCCTCAATATTGCAAATGGAAGCGTCGAAGGTTCAAAATGATATCTCAAGTATTGTAAAATATGGTGAGATTTTAGAAGTTGAAATTCTTTTTGATTGTTCTTGTTATCGATTTGTTAAGTGCTCTCTTTCGACGCAGGGATGCTGATCTTGGTGGTTTTCAGCTACTTGCAACCTTTCGTCTTTTTTGTGGTCCTAAAAGGAGAAATGAAATTCTAGCTCCAATTCAAAAGATTACTTATTTATTATTTGTTGTAATGTATAAAGTGAGATCTCAACTCTTGAATGTTAACGTTTTTTGAGTTAATATTTTTAACTTCCAATAAAAGAACAAAATAGATTTTTTACGTTTCTATTATTTTCAATAACACTTACATAATTATTATAACTTTAAACATATATTAAAAAACAGTTTTCCTTTTTCTGAAAAACTCAAATGAACAGGTCATTAAGGCACTAAAATTATTTTGATGTTCAACTAATCAGTTATAAGGTGATAAATTTAAACTTTGATACTATCTTTGAAAAAAATTATAAGTTATAATTTATTTTTTGATGATTTAATTGCACTTTTAATTCTTCAGTTTAGACAAATTTTTAGAGAAGTACTTATACAAAGTAAATGAGTACAAAAATTGAATTAAACATTTTTTATAAGATAAAAATAACTTATCTTCTTAAATTTTAGATAAGTTAAATAAGAGATTTTTAAAAAAATAAAAATAAAAATTATTTTAAAATTATTATAAAAATTTTATTTATTTTTATATTAATTTTTTTCTTTTAAGAATTTTTTTAGAAATTTATCCAAATTGCATTTATATGTAATTTTAGTTTTCTAAATTTTTTGGGCCAATTAATCTAGTAATGTATTCTTAACTATTGACTAAAATTATTAAAATTATGTGCGTCTCATTTTTTTTCACTCATAATTTAATTTTTTTTTTTGTACTTTTATAACTTTTAGTAAATTTTAGTCATAATTAAAAGTATATTAAAAGAGTGGATTAGATAGTATATTATTAGGATTCCTCTTTCTAAAATTATTTTAATTTTCACTAATTTTTTTCACCTAAAACTCTTAACTCCAATTTTTCACTTAGAATCTTTATAAATTGAATTAATTGCAGTATCTACTATTCAAAATTAACCGATAAAAATATCATTTTTTATCTTAAATAAAATTAAAATTAATTTTTTTCCTCTTCAAACCCTATTCTCACATCTTGGAAATTTTTAAATTTTTTATCAATTGTTTATTTGATGGAAACTAAATTTTGCATAGTTTGAAAAAAAAAACAGAAGGACTTTAGCTCAAAACACTTTAAGGGACCATGATATCATGCAACCCAAACTAAAAGTAATAAAAGTAAAATTAAATAGGTTTTCATCTACACCCTGAATCTATATTCAGTTAAATTGGGCTGAAGTCACTAAAGGTTTAGCTGTATTTCCTTTGCTAAATGTTTGACACAGGAGGTTTTATTTACTTTTAAATGGTGTTTTTCATTAAAAACGACATTTCAATCTCACAAATTAGTGTTAAGTGCACGAAATTTAGTGAATGATTTATGTTTTTTTTTTAGGGTGGGAATGAAAAAGGAAAAGAGAACTAAGGACATAAGAGATATTAATTTTTGTGTTTAGATTTGAAGGGAAATAAGAGAAAGGAAAAGATAAAGTGGGTGGGAGCCAAAAATTATAATGCCTCCCCTCAATTTAGGAGAATACACGAAGATAATATATGATTTTTTTTAATCATTTCATTAAATAATTTGTATTTAAATAATATTATAATAAAAGTTTGATCTTATATTAAATTAAATTTTTACAAGAATTTAATTTATATACATTAACTGTGTATTTTTTTTTAAGTATCACTCAATCATAGATTATTATATCAGTTAAAATTCTTGATTTTTGTAATAATAAGTATAAAAACTGTATTCACGATGTATTTTTCTAGTTGACAAAATTAATTAAAAATATAAAATTTAAATTATTAAATTAACTTTAAATAAATAAAAATCTGAATGGAATATGGAATAAATAAAAAATGTGATTCCAAATTCTTAGGGGTTGTTTGTTTTGGTTTTAATTTTTAAAAATTTTATTTTTAAATTTTTTTTAAGAAAATAAAAATAAAACTTATGTTAACAAACAAATTATATTTTATTTTTACTTTAAAAAAACTATTTTTAAAAACAGAAAACAAACATTCTCTTACTCTTTTGTTAAGACTTTAAATTGTTTGATTATATTCTATTAAAAATTCCTACTAAAATTCTTAAATTTCTAAGTCTTTTAAAATTAAATATCCAAATAACAAATTTTAACCAATAAAATTATAAATTCTTTCAAATAATAAATTATTCACTTAAAATATCTTATTACCTAAATGCACTCTAGCATTGAGCAAATGGAGTTAGAATATCGATGCAAATATTATTAATATTTGAGAAAATTAATATCAATATTTTTGAAAAGAAATATTCAATTTTAAAGGCATAAAATCTGAAATTGGTCATGAAAAATAAGTAATTCTTCAACTTAGTCTCTAAAAAAAATATTAAAGTTAGTCTTTGAATATGTAATTTATCATTTATTTTAGTTCTTAAAAGATAGATAATCCTTCAATTTAGTCTCTAAAAAAAATCATTAAAATTATTCTTTAAACATGTAATCTATAATTTATTTTACTCCTTCATCAATAATTGATTAATTCTTATAAATATGAGAACAAGACATGTTAATTAATTATTTTTTTATCATATTGTAATTTTAAAATTTAATTGTAAAATAAAAAAAATTATAATTTTTAAAAGTAAGTTGTGTAAAAAATATAAAATAGAAGGTCGAAATATATATTTTATATAATACAGTATGTATTATAGTTCTTGGTTTTATTGAAATATTTTATATACATATCACTTTAATAAAATATAAATTAATATTATTTAAATATAATAAGTCATAAAAAAATTTATTAATCAATAAAATGATTTGTGACCATTAAAAAAAACTGATTATTCTATTAGCAATACTATAAAATAGGGATTAGTTCTAAATTTGTTTAGAAATTAAAATGAATGATAATTTATATTTAGAAACTAATTTTAATATCTTCTTTTAATGACTAAATTGAAATACTTCTTATTTTTTGGAGATTAAATTAAAATTTTAATCATTTTAAAGGACGTAAAAAGTTTAAATTAAAAAGTATCATATAATATATTTAGAGATATAAGATATGTAGCATGTTTGTAACTATATTTGGACATGTTTTAAGCATCATAATAATATAACTATAACTAATAACATTAGAATAAACATAAATGTAAGATCGAATGAAACATGAATCTAAAAATGACTTCATTATATTTTTAGATTCAATCTCAATTTATTTTAATTTTGTCATGACAGGTTCAATTTTGGATGTTTGCAATGGTGGAGGTAAGTGGCAGAAAAGAAGATTTTGGTGGAAGGTACCTTGATTTTCTCGATGTTTGGTTCCTCCTAAATGGCTAATGCACAGATGTTTGGAGGTGAATCTGGATCTCCACTGTTTTGGCGAAGCAAATTGCCAAATTCGCTTAAACAAAAAAAGTAATTTTATTTAAATTAAAATTGTAAATAATTTAAAATTTTATTTTTTTAAATTACAACAAATTTAAAGATTTTTTTTCATCAATAACTATCTAATTATTAAATATTTTTATATATCATTTTACTAAATATTCTAAATGTATTATCTAATGTATTATTTGTTCTAAGCATTAATGATGTTTAACTATTTAAAATTGAGTTAAATTATTAAAAAAATAATAAAAATTATAAGAATAATAACTTTAAAAATTTGGTAAAGCAACAGTTAAATTTTTACATAAATTGTGACCATTAAATTTTTGTAATATGATCATATGATTTTGTATAAATATTTTTTAAATTTTTTATAATTTAAAAAAGAAAAAAAATTAAATTTTTTTACATTTTTAACTTAAATAAAAATCATTTTTTTATCAAATTTACTTAAATGAATTTTTTTAACTTAAAATAAAATTATTATTTTTTGTCAAATTCCCTTTTTAAGTAAATTTATACTGTAACTGTAGAAATTCCAAATATATTTGTAGGTGGTTCGTGAGCCTATGTGACAATGCTAACATAGATGCAACAGTTGGAGTTACATAGCATACAAATCCACTAATTGTTAGTTGAAAAACTCGCAAAGAGATGATGAGAGTGGTAGAAAAAAAGAAGAAGAGGAATACTAGAAAAAAAAATTTAAATTAAATATTAATTTTCAAAAATAATATAAATAAGTTTTAGATTTTTATTTTTTATTTTTGCAATATTGATCTTTAGATAATAAAATATTAAAAATAATATTAAACTCATCACTTAACATAGTTGAAAATGTTCGAAACTCTATCTTAAAAAACAAAATTCAAAAGTGCATATATAATTAAGTCAAAACGCAACTATTAACTGGACCTAAAGATATGCTATCTTAATCTCTTCTATTTTCAGTGTTGAAAAGTATTGTTCAACTGAATTACACTATTATGGTTCCAACCACAGCACTGTAAGTCTGGTCCAAACCTGAATATCACTGTAAGTCTACGTTCAATGAAAGTAAAAACCTAAACGTCACCTCCACAGCCCCCACCAGGCACCAGGGAAGTGATGGGTCAGCTACAGTTCATTTTATGAGTGGTGAGTCTCAGGGAACCACAGCATGTTAGCGAAAGTGGCTGTCCTTCTTGATATGTGGATCTCTGGCTTTCTTATGCAGGCTTTTTGCCATATTGTGGTAGTTAAATTTTTTTTTTATCAAAATATAGTTGTAACGAAACAAATTTTCGGTCTGAAGTGGGGAATGTCAGCCGGCATCGAGTCGTTCAAAAGTAAGACGATACTAAAAACAGAAAAAAAAAATTTAAGTAAATAAAATTTGATCAATGGTTAGAGGATAAACAAGACATGTGGCAAACTTGTTAAGAGTCATCGAGATTTGTGCCAACTGTAAGCCAGGGACGACAATAACACCATTGTTTCACGTGGATCCGGATTCAGTGTAGTCTGCGCGGAAACTGCACCGTGCATTTAGGCAAAATTTTACATTTTCGCTTAAGCGAAAATGCAAGG